TTTTAACTAGAGAGGGACAAGAGGTGGGGAAGATGCGACTTAAGAACTTTGGGCGGAGGCCGCCAGGGGCGTGCTGGGTGGTCTTCCTGGTCGGTGTGCCCTGGGTGGCAGGCAGCATGCTGAACTGGGCCGAGCTGCTCCGTCATATTTCGAAACACCTAGAAATCCCCTTTTCTCCACCCCACCGCAAGAGGAGGAACTGAAATAGTCCGCCGAGGAGCAGGGCACAGCGTTCAGGCGACGCCCGTGTGTCCCTTTTTACCATTTTCTCCCATCTTCGTCCAGTTTCTCCTAGTTTGACATTTTAGGGGGTGCTCCGACGGGAGGGGGGTCTACGCTGGCTAGCCCGACTGCGAACACCCCTGAGCTCGCGACAAGTCGACGGAGTGCTCCCAGCCACCCGGCCGCCCCTCCCCCAGGTCGCTGCCTTACGCCCCCGTCACCGCGATCCCAGGTCGTGCCCCTTCTCCCACCCCCCACCTTTCCCTCCTCCTTGACTGCCTGCTTTTCTGAACATGAATAATTCCACAGCACTTCCCATCTGTTATTGCCATAGAGACAGAAGCTCGGCAAAGATAATGAAGTTCTGTGCAGAGCCAGTGGGGGGAGAGCAGCATCTGCGAGTCTGGGCGGGGGGTGGGAGGGTGGGGGGTATAGATTTGCTAACCGCAAGAATATTCAGAAGGCCTGGCAGAGACTGGGAGGTAGATAACTGGGCAGTCCTGAGACTTGGCTCCGGGTTCCCTCTTGGCACCTGGTTCATCTGTCTAGCGAGAAGAAACAGTTTTTAGAAACCAAGATGATGGGTTAAAAAAAAAAAAAAAGTGATTCCCAAAGTGCAATTAATGATAAATGTTCAGTAGTGATTTTATTAGCCATAAAAATAATTGCTTGCTAGCATAGCCAATGAATGGCCTAACGGACAAACATAAATTGAGTAGTTAAATGGACTTTGGAAAAAGCAAGCGCATTAGTCCCCTCTCTCCTGTGTGTGTTTTATTTTAATTTGCTTTCAACAGGAATCTGGTTTTCAGGGAAAGATCTTCTGTGCCTGTGATTTTATGTGCAAGGTTTGAGAAATAATAACTGCAGATGTGGCCAGAACCAGTCCAACTTTGTGGACTCTTTTTTTCATTCTTCATCAATGTACAAAATGTACCAAATTAAAATTCACTTTACCCTTGAATTCCCAAGGTCTTGGCCTCAAAGGTGCAGGTTTGAACACAAGTGAACCGAGCAGGGTTCATTTACATAGATCTGATGCAGATGGGAGGTTCAGACTAAGCCACATTTTTGTAGGCCTACTTAAGGATTTTCAGAAGTTATCAGTAAAATCGGTTGCATAATATGAAATTTAAAACACTAAAAACAAGTGATAATAGTTCTTTATCCAGAAACAGAGCTGAACGAACATAAAAATCATCTTAGAGAAAGCGAGCACTGTAAAGTAATGAATGTCCAAGTTCTACACACTGATGGTCTCCCTCCTTGAGGAGGCCACTTAATGGTCAGTAACAGCGACGGGTTGGATTTTGCATGGCCTCTTACCTCACCTTCTTGGCTATCAGCAGGAGCTGAGAAACTGGGCCTGTATGTATGTAAAAATTCCAAATGATTGGAGCTGACGGGGCTACTGCTGCTTCATCTTCTTCCACTGAGTAAGACAGAAAGAAGACCCAAATTAATTGGTACTAGATCACCTAGAATTCCTTCTTCAGTAATTCTGGCTGCCACTTCATACATAGTTTGAGGCAAATGCTTTCCCTGTGTCTCCGTTCCCAGATATATTCATAATGTCCTCCCAATGTCAGTTACAAAGAAGAGAAGGAATAAGCAAAAATTCAACATAATTTGTTTTTATTTTTATCAAGGAGGGAGAAAAAAGTCAAATGTTACCTGAACACACCAATGCTGGTTTGTGTTTTCTTTACACCGTCTGTTCTTTTCCAAAGAAGAGAAACCAGCTGCAACCTGAGGATTCTTCTGCTGTTTTCTTCCTTGATTCTCAGCAACAGAAATGAATGTGAAAGATTTTTTAGCAACAAGTCAAATCCTCTTCGAAAGTCAAATTTCACAAAAGAATTTCAACCATTCCATTTTCCATCTAATTTTTTTTGTTTTAGCTTTTCATTTATTTCTATTTCTCGGAGTTATGGTGGTGATGAGATACACTGTAAGTTCATAGCACTTTAATCTGTCCTTACCTGTCTTCTTTCCTGTACATTTTACTCCTGTGTATGTATTTAGGGCTACTGTCCTGCTAATGCAAAGTTCTTTCCTCTCATTGACTAGGCTTTCTCCTCTGGATGGCTTTGTCCTCTTATCTGCCAAGTCAAAACTGGATCTACAATGTCCCATACCCCATGTTCATGCTTTAAGTAAAATGAAAAACAGATGCTTAAAAACTATTCTGTCTATCCCTGCATAGTATCACACTGCACTTTTTTATTTTTAGGTTTTCACTTAGGCTTTGTGAAATTGGAAGGGAAGGAAGAAGAAAACAAAAGGAAATAGCCAGAAGGGTAAAATAGACAAAGGAACATTAGAAATGTTGAAATGTTGGGCCCAGCAGGTAACATGGAGTTTAAGGTGCTGGGTTCCACATAGCCAATCGTGTGCATTCAAGTCCTAGACCCAGCAGGTTGAAAAACAGGTCAGGTGTGTGTACGTGCATTCCCCAAATCCCTAAAGGAGAATGGAGAAGGGATTGCAGCATGACCATCCCCCCTGGGAGGTGATTTTTCACTTTCCCTGTCTGTATCTCTAGCAAGCATATGTACCCTATAGCAAAAATATCAATAAATAAATAAATTTTTAAAAAAGAGAGACTCCAGCCAGCTCAGACTGCTTCCAACTGCTTCACCTACAACAACCCCAAACTACTCCTGGGAGACATGTAGAAGAAATTCTCTCTTTTAACAAAAGGGAAGTCGAGGCAGTTTAAGTCACCTGCCAAACTACATTGCTCCCAGTGGCACAACAGGTGTGTGAGAACTAAGCGTACTGGCTGACATCAGTGGAGTTCCCATTCATCATTTCCTCACGCTGTATGGTTCACTTAAACTGTAAGGACTGATTCAACTTGGTCGAGATGAGCAAAGACTGAGACTCACAGATTGAGTGTTCTAATCATAACCCGCAGTCGCGCTTCCCCTTACTATGTTCA